GCTAAATACACAAGCCCGCGAAATTAAAGTTTCTGCAAAATACAAGGGAAGTAATTGTTGATTTATATGTTATTGGATGTGCTGATTTCGAAAACGACCTTCATTTTCCCCTATCACGTCAGGAATTTTTGTAAAATTGATATCGATATTTTTACTAAAATCGTATTTGAAAAGGTATTCTGTCAAACAATTTTGCATGTACTATCTGGTAACTGTCGTTTTTATTCATTTTGATCTACGAAAAATTGAATCTTGTGAAAGGAAATTAATTTTTGAGTGATCGGCTAATTTTTTATAGGTTAAAATGAATGAAAAATGCTGTTGCCAGATCACACAAATCACCTCTGGTTGAGAGAAAAACAATAAGTTCCTTTAGTTTAAACTTTTTACATCAGTTTCTAGAAGAAAATCACCAACATACCATTATATTTTTATTAAGGTAACTTAAGCAAAATTTTCGATTGTCCTAGATATAGCAAATATTGTGTATGTGTACGTGAAAGTTTGAAACAAGAAACAAAGCAAAAAAATTCTATTTAGGTGCATACTCGTTTTCCTGTGAAACTTATTTTTTATTATCTTATTTTATGCTTAACCTCAGGCATATCTCGAGCAAACCTCCAACAGTAGTCGGTGAGCATGTTCTTGTCAAATCTTCCTTTATATTTATGCTCCATATCCCTGATATCTTGATGAAACCTTTCACTATGTTCTTTGCAGACTGCTCCTAAATTTTCGGGGGCAAAGCTCACAGGATAGTAAAGGGGAAATGCATTTTGACACTCATGGATCAACCCAAAGTTTTAAATTTGTCCACCATTTTGATTACAATTGCTTTATAGTCAGGATCCTTGTAGTGACCCAGAAATATTCCGACGACATCTTTGAAGATAATCCAAGCTTCTTTTTCGTTAATGTCATGTTAATCAGAAATTCTTTATTCTTCATTAGTTTGCTGATATCTGGACCAACAAAGATTCTCTCTTTCAACTTGGCTTGGAATAAACCTGAGCTGGAAACTTTTTGTACAAAGTGTTTGAAACAATAACCATCATTTGGAGCAGTCTTGACAAACTGCTTTATTACACCTAATTTTATATGTAGAGGGGGTAACAATATGTTTTTGGACTGGGTCAAGATTTTGTCTTTTCTACCATTCTTTTTTGACCCAATGTTGAGTCTTGTCACCGCTGTCCCACTCACAAATGAAACATGGGAACTTTATAAATCTACCTTGTTGACCAATAAGCATGAAGATAACTTTCAAATCACAGCAAATGGTCTAACTGTGATTGATATACGAGGGTTGTAAATTAAATAGTGGCAACTTAACCTTGAAACTCACAAAAGGGCGCTCATGCGTAAATAGGGTATGGGTGCGGTGAGGTGGCGCTGTTGTCGATGTGTAGAGTGCAAAAAACAGTCGATTTGCTTAGAAGGGTAGTTGTTGCGTGGCGTTAAAGTGAGGAGTCTTGTTTCCATCACTCTAAAGCATGCTATGAAAAGGCTTAATGACGAAAAAAGACGAGATGCTTGAATCCACCGTGCTACTGTCCTATATGGTAAAGCATTTGCTCCAAAGGCTTCCACTAATCCTCGATAGCATTCTGTTGCATTTTTGCCACGGGCAACCTCGATTGTAAGCCACGACCGCTGATCACCTTTTGNGATGGCAATAAATTTGTTCATCAATCCATTAACATCAGAACAATAGACCAAATTCACCTCTTCATCAAAGTACTTAACAAATTCTTCTTCTCGATTCCTGTACCAATAAAAAGATGTTCCTTTGGGCATTAAGTCTTTTTCTTTCAGTCTAAAGCCTAACCATTCAGCTGCCACTTTCGAAAGGCCCAGATCTCTAGTCAGATCATCAAGTTCAACCTGAGAGAAGGACTAAGGTGAACCGGCTACAAATGGCTTATATTCGATATCGGAGTATTAAAGTTCTGGTTGTTCCGAGTCTGAAGAAATAACTGAAGGCAAAGGCTCATCAGATCCATGAGGTATTGCCGATGGAATGTTATCAGGATAAGATATTCTTTTTGATTTTGCCAATTATACCCAAGAACATGGCAAGAACAAAAATAACAATCATCAATTGGTTTTTAGGCTCCCTCCATGTCATAGGAATTCCAAATCGTGAAGTAGTCTTCTTTCCTCGGAGTCATAAGCGTAGATTATTGAGAAGCTGCACACAGACTTTATGAGGAGCCCATGATTTGTCCTGGTCTCCAAGTTTCATGGCAAACTACACGAGATAAAAATGCATTACATAGTTTGTAACACATTTTTAACAGCATGATCTTCACCGCCATGTTTCACTAAAAGCGCAGAGAAAAGCAGACGTTAAAAATGCTTCCGAAAAAAGACTCCCGATTACGCTTGCTAATATTCATAATAATATATAACAGAACTCAGCAAACCGAAAAAAAGAATTCCTTCGTCACTATTGGTAGAGAGATATTCGGACAGAGAGAGGGGCGGTGACAGGAAGATGTCATAAAGGGGTACTTTTGCAGATTTAACTAAAGTTAAATGTTAGTCAGAAAGAAGAGATGAAATTCAAAAACTAAAATTTTATGGTAAATGTTCATAAAAATTCCATTAAAATTGAATTTTTCATGAAAACGTGACGTGAGGGAAATTTTTCAATGTGTTTATCATTTCAGCATCAAAAAATGCATTAAGTTCAGCTATCAGCCCCTTGTATTTTTTTCATCGCAGGCCTGTGATATTATTTATTCTAATGTGTTTGCATTGTACTGTATTTATCCCAATGCTCTATGCCATTTTATGTTCTCACCCTTATGGATAGTCTAGACATAAACAACACAAACAATGTACACCTCACAATCTGTACTGGCTCGCCATTACGGAGCCAACTTGACTGATCACGCCCCACCTCTGATCTATCTCACTTGTCACCAGGGGACGGGGCCGTGATGTGCCGTGGGACCAATGATGTTATATTTATTTAAAAAAATGTTTGATGTGGCTAATTATTACTTATTGTGATGTATTTGTCCTTAATGATGTTAGCTTTTTATGTTTAAACCCCGACAGTAGTCCAGTCATTCATTAATCAGTTTCTTCCCTTTTTTCAGATCCAAAAGAGAACAACGGCGATTAATCAACACAACAAGTGGAACAGATGCAACACTCAACTAAACTTAGTAGTCATAATTATCTAGTCTTTTTCTTTCTGGGAACGCAATCTTTGGGATACGCAGTTATTGTGAAAGAGATCTAATAAACTTTTTTAATTATTTAGTGAACACCTCCAAATCTCCAAGTATCAGTTGGAAGACCTAACAAACAAACGCTGATCCTTCCAGACGGAGGTGCGCCAATAAGAGGGATGTGTTCGAAAGGGAATGTGTTGTGTCGGGTCGAAAGGGAATGTACCATCATGTGCACAATAAGGCTAACACTCCAAAGTGCTGTCAACAAATCAAACCCCATCTCACAGATCCTCTAAATTTTTGTAATTTTTCATATTTATAATGAAAGCATATTGAATGCTGGCGATCCTTTTTTTTCGTGTCGGAGGCGCCAAATCTCCTAGTACGAATTGAGTGAAACATAGCACAAAGTGTAATGACACAATTACAATGCTAGAGGCGTCATGCTCATTTTTATGGAACCTGTCGCGAATATTGTGGGTGGGTGAAAACAAAACCAGGTTTCGTTTTTTTAAGAATTCCAGGTTTTTTAGATGATTTCTTTCTTCCAATGACTGCTTCATCTTAACTCTTCAATTTTCACCACAAACTTAAGGGTCAGTTTTAAGTTAACTGCAGTAACATAGCTAGTAATTTCTACGAAGTGCAACTTTAGAAGTAATTTTTTATTTTATTATATTATCATAGTATACACATAAATTCTAACTTAGTTTTAATTTTAATTTCATTCTATTCTAATTATAATTTTAAGTATAACTTTAATTTACTTTAATTTTGATCTTAATTTATAATTGTGTAACCTACCCCCTTAACTTACAGCAAGCCTAGACAAGGAACATAGTGGTCTGTGGGTCTGTTGGGTTGAAGGATCGGGTACTAGGTGCACGGGATCGTACACATAGCTTCTAAGTGGCCGCTGGTGCCGATGTGCCAGAGTCTTTTGGACCACTGATGTCTTGGGGCCAGTGATTTACGTAGAGGCCACTTCAACGTTGTAAACCCGCTACGCGGTTAGCTGGCCACGTGCGGTGACTGAACTGTTAGTTTCTGCCATGGGGGACTAAGGGATAGAACGTTCGCCTCCCAATGTGGTGACCTGAGTTCCAATTCCAGCAAATGGCAGATCGATATGAATTCCGTAGCCGGCTCGCATGCTGATGAAAATTATCCTCTATGAAATGAAAATTATCCACATAATAATATATCCACATAATAAAATATATAAATGATGAAAATTATCCACAGTGCTGATGAAAATTATCCTCTATGGTAGACCGATCATGGGTTACAGTTCCCTTGTCGTCAGGCTAACCGACAGAGGTTTTCGTGGTTTTCCTCTTCATGATACTCAAATGCGGTTTAGATCATCAAAAGGTCCGAGGATTTCCCTCAATAATCGATCCAGCAGTTCCCTTGCCTTCTAGATTGGGTTCAAAATGACGAGGCTACAGAGTTGAGCTTTTGTAGTCGCAAATTCAAAATTGGGACGGCTGTTCAACGACGGCTATTAAACTGTTAGTTTACAAATGCAGTAATGGATTTTTCAACTTATGGAATTTGCTGAGAAAATAAACTAAAATAAACTATCAGACATTTCTTAAATAAAACAAGCGTAAAAGTGTTGTATTTTGTGTATGTGTGCAAATACAATAACATCATATTCTGCCGTATAAATTTTATGAAAGATGTCAGATCTCATAATACAAATTACTTTTAATCCCAAATGCCGTCAAAGACATATGGATAAACATTCAGTGCGTCTAGAAAAATAAATTATCAGACTTTAAGAGTGGTTTAATAATTTAACTGCTGAACAGTTGTTTTTTTCTGCTACGATTGTAACTGGTAAAAGGATTAGGAAATGAATTAATGTTTGTTTTAGAAGTGTAAGAAATGGTATAAAATCGCAAGTTGAGAAGATATTGTTCACCACTAGATTTGTTTGCCAGAATTATTCTGTTCATCTATCAAAGGTAGGTTTGAAACGAAATATTCTTTTAACAATATTTTGCTTATCTGACATATCTTGAACGTATTTATTGTTCTAATATCTAATTTACTGAATTTAATATTTTTACTTTAAGCTCTCTTCTTGTTGCTTATTTTTAGATATTAGAGAGTATTTTTTTGTTAAGATTAAAGTTTTTTAAAACAAGTTTTTATTTCACATTTCTAATCTTTTAAATAAAATAATAATAGATAAATTCTCATCGAAATTTGTGTTATTTTTCTATTCCTTTTCCGAGTTGATTTTTTTAAAATATAAATCTGTTTATTTTCTAAAATTTACGGTCTTTCCTCACAAGTAAAGTTGTAATTGATTAATTTAATGGTTTAAAGGCTCACACTTTACAATTCTTCAGGGGAGTATTTTTAGAAGAAATTTTTTTTTCTTAAATAACACGGTTTACATGAAGGTAATATGATATTTGTGTGCAATGTGTTGTTATTCATCGAAAAGTCCGTAAACTTGTAAAGTACTTATCTGGAAATAATAAATAGAATCTTTTTCATGCAAGAACAAATATGACTTATCATAATTTTATCCATTAAATATTATTAGTCGTTAATTTCCATCTTTTCTTCAATTTTTCTATTTTCGTAAATTTCAATTTTTTTAACTTTTTTTCCATTTTTTATAATTTTAATCATTTTCCCATTTTTTTCTCAATTTTTTTAATTTGAATTGTTTTTTTCCTCATTTTTTTAAAATTTTCTTTAATTTCAATCGTTTTTTCATTCCCCCCCCATTTTTTTTATTTTAATCGTTATTTATTGTTTCCCCATTTTCTTTAATTTCAATCGTTTCTACATTTTTTTTCCATTTAAATCGTTGCTTCTTTTTTTTTTTCATTTTCTTTAATTTCAATCATTCCTTTATCTTTTATTTTAATCGTTTCCTCTTTTTTTCCATTTTCTTTAATTTAAATCGTTTCTACATTTTTACATTCTTTTTAAATTTCAACTGTTTTTTTCCCTTCTTTCATATTTTCCTTAATTTTAATCATTTCTTCAATTCTTTCCCATTTTCTTCAATGTCAATCGTTTCAACTTTCCTACCCATTTTTTTAAAAATTTCATCCCTTTTTTTTTCATATCTTCTATAATTTTAATCATTTCTTCAATTCTTCTCCATTTTTTTTGAAATTCCAATCGGTTCTTTATTTTGTCCCGTTTTCTTCTAATTTCAATCATTTCTTCATTTTTTTCATTTATTTATTAAATATTTTACATATTTACTAATAGTCTCATTTTTTAAAAAAAAAACAGTTAATAGCCCATTTTTAAATTCTTTAAATATTTAATCGTTGCTTTTTAAAAAAAATCTGCTTATCTGTTAAATATTTATTCTGAAATGAATGATTAATTCATTGAAATGAAGTGATTATTTCTTTCATTCAACTGAATCTAAGAAACTGCTTACGAATTTTGGATCAATGAAGTTTATTTTTTCAATGCACAATCGTATCTTTCAATTAAATCGATATAAAAAGAATTCTCATACATTTCGGATTAGTGCAAATCATTTTTTTGTTTGTTATACAGTATATTTACAGAACAATTTTTTTACTACACAATCAACTAGATCCTATAAAAATCCGTGAAAATTGTTTTTTGCTATTACACAATCGTATTCTTGTACCAACTGTATGAATAAAAGAAATTATAAATTTTGGATCAATCTAATTTTTTGCAATTTTTTAATAAACATGATCTGAAAAAACTTCCGAATGATTCATTTTTTGCAGTCTTTCAATCTACTGTTTCTAAAAAAAAATCTCACTAATTTCAGATCACTTCAAAAGATTTTTTTTGACGAATGATTCATGCATTCTTTTAGTCAACTACATCTGAGAGAAATCTGAAGAATTTCAGAATAATGTGAAAAATTCATTATTTTGCAATAATGTAATCGTATCGTTCAATCTATCAGCTCTAAAAATCTCACAAAATTTCGGATAAGTTTAAATTGTTTATCAATCGTTTACTCATTTAACGTTTTCATATAATTTTGAAAATAGCACTCTTCATACTTCTTTATTCCATCCGTTCTATTCTATTTTTGATATTTTTTTTCTCCTTTTTTTCCTTTTTTCTCTTTTTTACCATTCATTTCTTATCGATTCACAACAAAAAATTATGTAAACTAAAATTCCATAAAAAAATTTTAAGTTATAAATTCAAAACATATAAAAATGCGGGACAATAATTAACTTTTAAACTTTGCTTTAAAAACAAACACTTGCAACTCGAGATGAAGAAGGCAGCCGCAATTTGCTGGTTGTCCATAAGCAACTAGACTGTCAACAAATCAGTTAAACTGGTTGTGTGTTAACGTAACAGTTTTTAGGCTAGGTATATTATAATGCTGAATCAATTTTTAAAGTGACGTCAAGCCTGAGTGACGATCCTGAATGGCTGCTGAATCATGGTATAAAGAAATGGCAACCAATCAGTTTCAACACACATACGTGACGTCACTCGCATGCAATTGAATACTTTTTAATTTTGAAGTAACATCATCAGGAAACAAAGAGAAAATAATTCGCGATCGCAACGCTTGAGTACGCCATCTAGCGGGAGCCTGTAAATATCAGACATTAATTTATCACGTTTTCATTTAGTTCCATCATAGTGCGTGGAG